GCCTCGCAGAGAGTGGGGCTCCGCGGCCTTCTCCCGGGGCGCTGAGCTTACGGTACGGAGTTGCGGGCTGAGGAACCTTCCCTGGGTGGGAATGGGCTGCTCCCTGTGCCCTTTGGGTAACTTAATAATCGTTTAACTAGCACGTGTGTAGCTGTGGAAAATCGGGGAGTTGATTTCCGTGTTATTTTCCTTGAGGTTGCTTTACGTTAGTGCCCTGGGGGGCGGGGGGGTGGTGGTGTCTCTGCCCCCGGTTTTTGTTTCTGATTTGTCTCTGTCGTTAGTCCCAGCAGCCGCAGAGACAGGCGCGCTCAACAGAGTTTTGAGCGTGAAGCATAGGATGTGGCACGAGTCGAGGAGGTGGTATAAAGTGTGAACTCACTGAATGATCTTCTTGTTTCTTAAGACTCTGGCATCAGCTGACTCTGCAAGTTTTGGACTTTGTTCAGGACCCTTGCTTTGCCCAAGGAGATGGACTCATCAAGGTGAAGTATTTGATTGTTCCTAAGTGTTTTATCTTCCCGTAGTGAAGATGAGCGATGTTATTTTTGTACTAATGACAAATAAGCAGCCTGTGACTTGTCTCTGGAGAATTATTAAACTAGATGAATTCAGCTTTCTGGGGTTTAACCACTACATGTGGGCGTGCAGGATTTGGTTGGTGTATGAAAATTCTGCTAAAATTAATGTGTCAATTTTAGAAGCTTCAACGTTATTCTTTAATTTCATTCACTTAAGATTTGTGGGGGTGGTGGTGCAGAGGGAGCCTCTTTCTTTCCCTTTTGTAACAAGGGGTTTGCAACTGCAAGTGTAGGATGGTTTGTCAGGTGTTCACAGATGCTTCGAAGTATTCAATAGGTTATTTCACCTACTGTCTGGGAGCTTCTTCTACTTATGAAGATAACGGCATACTCAGTCCAGAGTCTCATATTGCCTGTGTGCTGCAAGTAATCATGTACTTTCGCTGTCCTTTGTGTCTTTAGGTTAAAATTCAGTTTCCTAGGAGATAGTTGTTTCCCTGATAAAGAGCCATGGGTTTCTAGAGACAGACTCTTTTCTGAATGTGTGCAAAGAGAAATCTGAAAGCTTTAGGGCTGTGCTTGTTGTACAGTGATAACATGTGCCTGGCCAGCCCGTAGCAGGGAGGTGTTGTGTTGTAGTACCTGCTAGCTTGTGAATTTCTTGAATCACTCCTTGCAGTTGGAAGGAGACTGCAGAGATAGAATTACCTAAAATGAGCAATTTTTGGCTCTTGGATTCTGTACAAAGTAGATATTTCTCTATTGGATGCCCACTACTTTATTGGAAAAATAAATTGGAATACAGTGAAAAGTGAGTGTCATAGCTGAAATGAAATATCCTGTTGTCCTGACTGTCGATATCTTTGTGCCTACAGCTTTACGAGAACTTCATCAGTGAGTTTGAACACAGGTGAGTTTGTTTGCCTGGAAGTTTTCAGGTAACCTACTGTTGACTGAGACTGTTGTGACAATGAGCTTTTTGTTCTAGGGTGAACCCCTTGTCCCTGGTAGAGATCATTCTTCATGTAGTCAGACAGATGACAGGTAAGTGTCCTTACCTGTTACAGTATTTTTAGCGACTGATGCCTATGAAACTTCGTTAGTTAACAGTAACAGCTAAATCTCCAATGTTAAGCTATTATCTTTCTTGTGTATTGAAAAGGGAAAGCACTAACTCAAAAAGCTTAAATAATTGCTGCTTTGTAGAGTAGCAAGTCTACTGCTTCGCTAGAGAAATGGCTGATGAGCAGAAAGCCTGGCCTACAGGTAGTAGCACCTTTTGAAGTTTGAGCAGTATGCTATAGAAAAAAAATATATTCCAGTCTTCATGAATCCAGTAAAAGGATATATTTCTAGGTTGAGATTTAGTTCCACAGGAATTCCTGATATTGCTGCTTTTTCTCTTTTTTTTTTTTTTCCCCTCTACTTCAGATCCCAATGTGGCCCTTACTTTTCTGGAAAAGACTCGAGAAAAGGTATTTTTGAAATTGCTCTTTCTGGTAGTCCACCTACAGGAATCATTTTGCATATGAGCATATATGATATAGCTGAAGAGCAGATATGTGTAGTTGAAATCTATGCTGGAGAATACCTACCTGTTTTCTCAGTCAACAACTCTGTATTTTAATGCAGGAACATGTTGACAAATGAAATGCAACCAATGCAGTCTAGGTTTCAAGAGCCTACCTGGCTGTAAGGGTAATGCTCTCTAACCACGCATCTTTGTGTAACTGCAGGTAAAAAGCAGTGATGAAGCTGTCATTTTGTGTAAAACAGCCATTGGGGCGCTGAAGCTGAACATTGGAGACCTGCAGGTCACCAAGGTGAGGTGATGACTACAGCATGGACGTACCTGTGCGCTTCAGTTTTGAATGAGAAGCCGATAAATTTGCAGCTCCTGGGATTTCCAGGAAGACTTGCGGTTCTACTTTACATCCTGTGGGCCGTGAAAATGCATGTATAGTGTTTATGGCCAAATCTCTGAAGTTTCAGTAAGATTGTGGTGCACATAGCCTTTGAGGTGCTGTTGCTCATTGGTGGCCTGCAGCTGATCACTGCAACTGTTGGTGTGCACAGCTCAGAAGAGAGGGGAAAAAATATCTTGATATATTCCAGTTCGCAGCTTAGAGGGTTTCGTGAATTCAACAGTATATATGCTGCTGGTATATGAGTATACTCCTATATATACTCATATACAGTATATGAGCTGCTAACAATGACTGACTTAGTCCTGCACTAAACGTGTTGTTTTCTCATCTCTTGTCCTTTTTTTGGAACTGTCTCTTAAACCTAAGATGAGGGTTTTTTTTATGCAGTGCAGCTTTGTGACTCTTAAAGCAAGTACAAAGTTTGATGGGTTTGGTGGGTATAAGTATATATAAAGTGGGTGTGTGTATATATATGTATATAAGTATAGCTGCAGAGTTGTTTTTTGAGGGTTTTGGGGCTTTTTTTTTTTTAACCTAACTGCTATGTAAAGGGAGAATGCCATTGCTTTGTTTTTAATGCAGTGGTAGTGGCTTTGGCTGTGGTCTCAGCTGCTTTACTACTGAGTGGGTGTTACCTCTGGACCACACAAGAATGCTGTAAACCTTACAGTGGTGAACTGGAAGGCTGGGAGTGTGGCTATGTATGAGGTGTACCTTCACCAGTAACAAATAGGTTTTCACCCGCCTCTAGGAGACCATTGAGGATGTTGAGGAGATGCTGAACAATCTCCCTGGGGTGACTTCAGTTCACAGCCGCTTCTATGATCTCTCCAGCAAGTACTACCAGACCATTGGGAACCATGCCTCTTACTATAAGGATGCTCTGCGGTTTTTGGGATGCATTGATGTTAAAGATCTGCCGGGTAACTCCTCCTTTGCCGAGTGTAGAAAGTCCCAGTTTTCATTCTCTGATTTATCACTTGAATCTAAATAAATGCACTGGCAGAGAGCAGGTTTTCTCAATGTTATTTTGAATCTGCTGTTGCTGGGCCAGGATCTGGCTAGAAAGAGAAGGAACTCACAAGAAGGATGGCTGAGTAGGATTCTGCTCCTAAGCTGCATTGATGTGATGGGAGGGGGGAGGTGCCCGCACCAGAGGGGATAGTTCGTTCTAGTTCCCCAGTATCTTCACCATAGATTCAGAAAGTGTCCCTTTTGTGCTACTGCTGTGGTTACTGCAGGCTTCTGAATTTCAGGCTTGGTAGAGGATGAGAAGGAGGCTGGGAATGTTTTAATACAGGCACAGAGAGAAGAGTGAGGGAAGGGTTGATGTGGCTTAAGACTGTGGTTTCATCCAAACTATTTTTGTTGGTTTGGGTTTTTTTTTTCAGTGTCGGAGCAGCAAGAGAGAGCCTTTACCCTGGGACTGGCAGGGCTCTTGGGAGAAGGTGTTTATAATTTTGGGGAGCTGGTAAGTTGATACTGCATTACTTCAGCTGTTGAGTATCAGGAATTGATTTTACCCTATTAACACTATCCTGCCTGGTTTCTGCAGCTCATGCACCCAGTTCTGGAGTCCCTGAGAAACACTGATCGGCAGTGGCTGATTGACACGCTTTATGCCTTCAACAGCGGTAACGTAGAGACGTTTCAGGCTTTGAAGTCGGCATGGGGTCAGCAGGTGAGTGAATGAGTTGCTATATTGCCTAAGGCCTAGGTTCAATATTTACAGAGGAGGTTTAGATTCTGTGGGCCTTTACCTTAAGAATTCCTGACTCTGGTTTCTTTCATCTTGATACATATCATTGGTTTTCTTTTGACTTCCTCTGTGTCAGGTTGATTGAAAGAAGTAAAGAGAAATCTCTTGTGATCAAGGACAAAGCAAGCAAAAATGTCATGCAGTCCTGTGCAGGAAGATGATCTCTGATTTAATTTCCGTTAATGCCATTCGTTCCATTATTAAACTGCTTCCAATGTAAAATAGTGTTTTCCCTTGTGTTCCAGAAAGTTTGAGGAAGAGGGGGTATTGGATATTAACTACACTGCCTATACCAGAAACTATTGCCATAGCAGTTATTTACAGGTCAACTTGTATGTCCAGTTGTACAAGGCTGTGGCATTTAATAAAAGGTTACCTATCTTCTGAAGTGCTGCCTTTACTTGTGCAGTTCTTATGATTCATTTTATGGAACCATTACCAGGTAGTGGGTGGGTTGTAATGCCCTCCTCCCTTGTAAATGAAGGTAGAGGGGCCCTAGATGGCTTAGTCCTGTGTGTAGCATGTTGTTCTCCCCCAGGGTAGGGAGAAAAACGTAATAATGAACTTACTTGTTCCATTTTATCCTTTTACAGCCAGATCTGGCTGCAAATGAAGCACTTCTGCTGCAAAAGATTCAACTGTTATGTCTTATGGAGGTGAGACGAGAACTGTGATGTGTTAAATGTGGGAAATGGAGAGGGACTACTCCAACCACCTTTTGGTGGGGGTCACACTGTTAAATATTCTGTTCTCTGCTGGGTGCGTTCATTCACTCCTCTTACAGATGCTCGTGGGTATAAATAGTTGACTGGAGATGTTCCCTCTAGGTGGTGCCAAAAGGCAAGCACTGCTAGGAGAAAAGCCTTGGGGCGGTCTGCTAGGCGTTTGTCCTTTCAGGGGTGTCCTCTTTCAGGCAGGGTATGGAGGTGGTGAAGAAAAGAGCAAGCTTTTTATCTTGAGGATGGTATCTGAAATGTTAACTCTTAAAATATGTTCTAGTGTAACAAAGATTTCTAAAACGCAGTTAAACTCTTTAGTTTCCTAAGGAGTGAAAATCCTTTCCCTGATAGGTAACCCTAAACATTTCAATAATTTCTTTCCTGTCACTTGAACGCTTTGACTCTGTTGTTACCGAACAGTACTGCTATATAAACCTCTGTGGCCCTGGCTCTTTTTAAAAAAACTTAAATATTGAGTTATCTGAAACATGATGTATGTTTGTACACACCCACATACCGATATATGTGTATATTAATATGTATATATATTCCACTTCTAGTGTTTTACTGTGAATGAGTTTTACCACCTATAGGTACTGTGCAATCTCAGGGATTTGATACGCACTGAGACGTTTCAACACACATTGATCTGCTTTGTTTGGAGATTATGTTGTTGCCTAGGAAATCTGCGGCTTGGAGCAGCAAAGTGTGTGTGGAGGAGGGAGCGGTACTACTTCTTTCTGCTGATGTAAATAAATTTTTCTTTGAAATGTTTTGACTAAATATGAGAAATACAGTTGCTACTACAGATTGAGAGCTCAGCAGGGCAGCACCAGGGAAGCTGTGCACGTTGTTGGAAAAAACTAAAACTGTGTGGGATTTATATTTTTTTTGTTTTGTTTACTTGAATTCAGATGACTTTCACCCGACCGGCCAATCACAGACAGCTCACTTTTGAAGAGATTGCTAAGAGTGCCAAAGTCACTGTGAATGAGGTGAGTTCAGGTTTAGACAAACTTACTAATATCTAAGTTCTGAAGCTCTGAAAGTGTCTGGGTAGACCTACTCCCGTAAGTGAACTCTAAGTTAAAATATGCTCTCTGGTTCTTGTGCAATCGGAGAACTTTTTTTTCTTTTTTAAGAAGTAACTAACTGCTTGGTGCTCCTGTTTCTTGGTAAATAAAGTTTTGAAGATTCTTAGTCATAGTCTTAAGTTGGAAGACAGCTCTGTAGGTCATTTGTTCCTTCCTGCTCTGGAAAGCAGGCCTTTGGATTAGGTTATACAGGGCTCTGCCAAGCTCTCTTGAGTATTTCCAGCAAGGGGAAATGTCAGTGTTTAATTTTTCTCACGGTGAAGAATTTTCTTGTGTTATCCACCTGCTAAAGCAAACCCTGCCTGTAGTCTCTTATCCTTTCACCATGCATCCTTGTGAAAATAGTACCCCTTATCTTCTGTGTTACTGCCTTTTAGGTACTGGAAGACTGTGATGAGTTATCCCCAAGCCACATCTTACGTAGGCTGAACAAATAACATTTCTTCATGACGTCAAGTTCTCAGCCTCCTAATCTTGGTGGCCCCTTGCTAGACACTCTCCAGTTTTGCAGTGCTCCCCTTAAACTGAAAGGGGGTGATGCAAAACTGGACACAGTGCTGCAGGTATGGCCCAACGAGTGCTGTGTGGAATAATCATGTCCCTTCCTCTGCTGCTAGTGTTCTTACTGACACAGACCAAGACACAGTTCCCCTTTGTTGCTAGAGGGGCACACAGCACACCCCTGGCTCTTGCACAGTTTGCTGTCCCCCCTGATTCTTCTTCTTTCCACCAGAGTATACTCTGCTGAGTATATTCAGAATATACCACAGCCTGTCAGACCTCCGTCTGGGCTGTTGCTTGGGATCCACAGAATCACACAGAGTCACAGAATCGATTTGGTTGGAAGAGAACTCTGGGATCATCAAGTCCAACCTCTGCCCTAACACCACCATGTTAACTAAACCATGGTACTAAGGGCCGTATCCAGTCTTTTCTTAAAGACCTCCAGG